AACATCTAAACTATCATGCCTGAAAAGTGGATAAGCAGGTGAGTAAGTGCATAAGCATTGTCTCGAGGGGAAACTCAGTGATTTAACGAAGAGGGAGATGCTTAACCTCGTATTGCCATGAGAAGAGTGATATTCCATCCAAAAGATGACCATAGGAGAATTACGCCAAAATTTTGTTTTCAAATAGACCCAGGTTTTTATTGTTTAACGCACTTTACGGAAAATTTTGAAAGCCAAAAATCCTGAAAGAAAAATCATATTATATCTCACCAATAGCCACATTTTTATAAGATATACGATCTTTTATCATTTCGAGTTGCCGAATTTAGTCAACAAATGTCTATGTGTGCTGCGCTGTTGGAGCACGAGCAAAGATCAGCAACATCAATCTGCCCTCGGTTCGGGATAGGCTCGGAACAGAGAAAAAAGCAACTATTTAATCAAATAATTGCAAAGTCCATGCTATATTTTGCACTTGAATCCATACTAGTTTTCTTACCGTTCATTTAAATTTTCGGAGTGCAGTTTTGAGGCTATGTTGTAGTGCTAAGAAACTATTAATGTTGTTTAGCAGGATTCTTGACTGTTCGAATAGACCCATGAAAAATTACTTACAAATTCACCAAATAGTACTTTACTGAATATAGCTTACAATGGGTTTTGATCCAGCCCTTAGAGATAGCAATAATACAGGTCTTTTTAAGAGGAATAATTAACTCACATATTCTGAATGTCCACAACATGGAAGGCCTAATGCAATGCACTAAATGTGAATCAATTCATACACTTACGAGCATATATCAGTAGAAACTAACTAGGTTATATACATACAGATAGGAAGATCGAATAACTCGAGAAATATAAAATCCGTAGTTAGGAGAAATTGCACACGTGCATAAGAGAAAACAGAAAAAAAGAAAAAAAAGCATAATAAGATAATAAATATAAGAAGTAGAGGACGAGGAATAAATTCAAAAATAAAGGAAAAAAAGATAACAAGACAATACTGGTACCCTTTTCAGTGCCTCCAGAGCCTTTTCAACGTTCTCTCTCTCCTGGGGCGTAGGGACTCGTGGTATAGTGTTAGTTATAGATCCTGTTGTTGCCCTGAGCTCAGCCACTTTGGCAGCGTCTTCGGCCACTGCAATCTGCAACTTCTGAATCACCTCGACAAGAAGTTTAAGCCGAGTCAGGCGCTGCATCGGTAGGGCCAAGAAGGAGTCAAGTCGGTTTTTGCCGCAGATCGGGTCCGAGTGCAGGCGGGCCACGGCCTGGCGAAAAGACTCACGTTCACTGTACTCGAGGTTATGGTCAGAAAGTAAAGGGACGTATGGAGAATTATGTAGAAATTATGTGAAAAGTTAATCAAAACTAAAAAGACACTCGAAGCGAAGTCTCAAAATCTGTTGGAAGTATGTTAAATAATTGGGCTTCAAGAACCCCCAAACAATTACGTCACAATGCATATAACGGCGGAAGGGATTCGCGGGTTGTCCTCGCTGTAACCCAGAGGCAGATCGACTCCTATTTGTGATTGTGGATGTGAAATTGTCAGTGCTGGGTGTAGCGTCCCTCTACCACGATAAAAAAGAACAAGAAACACACAAATAGCATTCTTGACTTTGTAATGTTGCATGGTTTTCTAAAAGAATAACTCCTTAGCCAAAAAATCACCATCTCTACAGGAAGGCGTAACACTCCGCACAGATGTACCGAGAACCGAAAACTTCAAGAGGCTTAATCGACAAACACTTTCTTTTCAGTTAATAAAGTCTGGAGAGTATTTGCGACTAGTGGAAGGGCGACACCGAATTAAACTGAAGGAAAATGAATGTGGCTTGTACGCAGTTTAGTCACGGTCATTGTGATCTCGAACCGTGTCAATATGCCCCATATTCGTAGGGTGTACAACTTGCTGATAGTGATAAGGAGTTGAATATGAGGCTTAAAGGTAGAATAAAATTCATTTCACACTGTCTGCCAAAAGACCGTTCTATCCCAGGCTAAAATAAGGCCCATTGGCCATTACAACAGGCTTCGAACAGCTGATATACTGGTTAGGTGGCAAGAGCACTACCTTTTGGCCAGAAGAGCCTGGAGCTATTGGATTGTCCAAAAATCGTGGGTTTAAGGGTAGGACGAAGCACCTTTGTTCCACACACACAAGCGCCAATAAATATGGTGCATTTTGACATCAATCGGATTCCAGCCTGTCCAGAGCGAAATTTAATATTTTTCCATAGAATTTGGCTACTTGCTGTGATGTTTCGGCACCAAAATATGACAAAAGAAAGAGGCCCGTTCACTTGCACGTCACAAAAGGAATGCGGAAGTAGCTTAGCACCAAGAAAAAGGATTACTATCAGCTGGACTTGGTAAGAATCTCGAAAACTAACTTGGAGACAGAGAATTGCGAGGTGCATCAAGCTTGGGTGTAGTCTTGAAATAAATAAGTGTGGGAGGGTATCGCTACTTTTATAAAAATGCGTAGCGGAGCTAATGTGACAAAGGCATCTTTGCTTCGTTGACAACCCCAGTACAGAAAATGATATGAAAAGGTCCTGAGCTTCCTTGAAATTCCCTTCTGTCCTGTGACCCAAGGGCACTCGTTGCAGTGTGGCCTAGACAACAATGTGTAGAGATTATACGCCTGCACTACCAGGGTTCGAGTCCCGCTGGAGGAGCTTATGAAGCCTAGGTGAGGTTAAAAATGCGGTCCATTCCTGTCTACAAGTGATAGCCTTTAGAGAAGTAAGACAAGGCGAAATTCAATAGAAACGTCATGTCCACCCATATTATGTTGAGAAAATTCAACTATCAGTCCTTCATCACAATAAACGAAATATAGTGATTATAGTTCTTACTAAAGATCTAACAATTACCAAGTTTGGGTTAACATCAAGAGATACAGTAATGATGATCTATTTTGGATGACAGAGTAAGCTGGGCTAAAACTGTTCTGAATGGAAACTTTATTTCTTTCAGGACTATATTTATCGTATACAAAGACTTAATTGCATATTAATAAGCGTGTTTTGACGCTTAACACTCTTAGAGTAAACTTTGGTATAATAATTTGTCTTCAATGGTACATCTGGAAGTATTTTAAGGCCCTTATTAAAGCTATTGTAAAATCATTGTTGAGCTTAATTCCATTGTGAGTGAAAGTGTTGGGTAAAGAGATTTGAATGTCGGTTCCACCAAAAGACCACGGCAGATTCCTCTTGACCAGCTGTCCATTGGCTTTACTGGAAGATTCATGCTGACGCGATTTCCAAGGCAATCTTATCATATGACGGACATCATCAGAGCGAGGTAACATCGTCACAACAAAATTCAAGATTACGAGTCAAGTTTTCTTGACGTGACGGACGAAGGCTCAGCACGTTTTCACCGGAATCGAAGGAGATTGCCTCGGAAACAGCGTTAGCATGAATCTTCTAGTAAAGCTAATGGAC